CACATTTTTGTTTCCAAACTAGGTCAGCATGATGGAGGGTTAGTGAAAAAAGCTAACAAAACATAGTTATCTTGGATTCTACCCTGGCATATCCAATTCAGTGCTTAATATTAGGGTTTTTTTCAGACCTGATAGAGTATGTAACTCCAATATTCTACTTCCTTGACCAAAATCAGGAAATAGTCTGCTGAGGGATCATCCTGTTGTCTACCATATGTATGTTTGAACTGTGAAACTGAAAGTGTTTGCATGCTGTCTTGTAGTAGCTACACTAAACCAGATGACTTACCTGAGGTTCTAGGATCTCCAGTGCTTGCTGGGAGGCAGGGGTTGCACTCTCCCCCCAGCCCACACATACACACAGAGAATGGGAGAGCAGGGGATCAGGGAGAAAGAGAAGCAGACAGAGGCAAAGGACTCATCTTAAAACTTTTGGTGCCTTCCATTTTGTTTCTAATCATCATGCCATGACAAATACAAAAGTCATTTATAAGGCCTATCTCCCTACAATTAGAAAAAAGTCTTGCCCATTCAGGAATCTTACACCGTAACGATGAGAAGGTAAGTTAGGGTACCAGCTCCAAAAGCATCTTTCATGTTATTCTTGACATTTTTCCTCCTACTTCATTTTACCTACTGAAACCACCTGCCTTCTACTTGCTTGTCAGCTGAAATCCCTGCACAATTCCTAGTCTTATAAACCTTACTAGTCACTAGTGATTGTTGTATCTAGTTTACTTGATGAACTAGTGGGTTTCTCTCCTTTTCTATTTTGCTTATCAATAAAGTTTAGGCACAGGCCAGGGTTTTGTCTCTTGACCTGCCCACTGGTTAGTCTGCACTCCTAGGCATAAACTTCCCAGAAAGTGGCCCTTGGCTGCCCGGATGCTATACTTCCCTGCCAATACCTTCCTTGAGGAGACATCTTCACTGTTCTTGGCTTGGTGACCTAAAGCTAACTTATGTCAGAGGCATTCCCTGTTCTGGGACTTGGCAAATACCAAGGAGCAGCCATATCAATGGTCAGCATCAATGAATTCTTTCTAAAGTGTACATTCATTATATCGTATTTTATTGGATTATCTTGATGACAAGCCACAGAAGTTTATCGTTTTCTAGCATAAACCAAGTTGCTGATGTAATATAGGAATGTTTAGTATCCCATGAAATTCAAGGACAGAAAGGTAGCTGGAATTCATGAATAACTTTATCTCATAATTTAAATTTCATCAGCATTCTCAACACTTGCTTTTGGCTTCTCTGTGATTAGCTTTATTCTTCTTGCTTTCTGTAAACCGGCTTTCTTCACATGGAAGAGAATGTAACATAAAAGGAAAACCACTTGCATCTTATTGTCTGGGTCACCCAAGGAAGATTGCTTTTCTTAATCCTTTATAGTTTCAAAAGTGCCTGCCTAGATTTACATAAAGACAAGCCTTGAAGTTTCTGATTAAAAGGAGATTTTGTTTTCTTTAGATTTGTTATGAGTCTCTTTCCAGTGAAATGAAACAAGCACCTTGAAGAGGGAGGCTGAAATCTGCTGAATCACTAGTTTGATTTAAGGGTTCAATTAAAGATGATATCCACCATGAAGAAAGAGGGCATATGTGCCAGAGCAAAATTTAGTGTTAAGAAAAAGCTTGGAAGGAACCATCAAAGTAACCAGGAAATTGGGTTTTAAGACTCAGAAACCAAACTAGATCAAACTAGACACGATTGCTTATAATTGCAAAAGTGAACAAAGAAACAAAATCCAAGCTGAACCGAGGGAAGATCTGACATTACCAATTGGTGAGAAAAACGCACTCATGGTACTCATTTGGAATTCTGCTATACTTTGTATTGCTACCACTTGGTTCTTAATTTTCTGCTGATAGATGTGTTACTGAGTACCTAAAATATTCTAAGGAACTTGTATTAAAATCAATCTGGAAGTGTGGGAGAGTCCTGCAGCACACCAAAGGGAGAATTTCCAGAGACATTGGTATAGCTCTGTAGTGATGTAGCACATTTTTCCATTTTTCATATGAGCCCACCACGGTGTCTTTTTGGCACTCCTACCAGGGATTGCCAATGTCAGGTGTGTGTGATGTATGTATATGTTCATACAACCAATGCATCCTGCTGGTTCATCCATTTGTATTGATTTTTAGAAGTGCAATTATTAATTGTGACTTCTGGATATTTTTAAAAGTGAGAGGGGGCAAATAGTTTTCATATACTCTAGATCTTAGGCTTCAAGATTCATGGAGTCTACATCCTTCAGTTATGAAATTATTATTATTTTATAAAAGCTGATTTTTGTTAAGTAATGGGGGTGAAATAAAGAAAAAAATAAATATTGGATATTGGAAAAGTAGAGTCTTGGTAATATAAGAGATTCTTGGGTTATCTCAGAAATGTTCGACAAAATTCGCAAATATATTTTACCTTTCTTTGTACCCTCATCTATACTTTATAGCTATATTTAGTCAGCAATTCCTGAGTACTTACTAAAATTTTTCTGTGTATATAAGTACTGTGGAGAATTCTGGGGAAGTATAAGACCCTTGTCCATTTTTAAACATATAATCTCAGTGGAAAGAACCAATTTACATATAGGAAATGGCAAATAGCATAAATATAGAAACATTTTTAAATGGCATTGCATATGAAATACAATATGGACATAAATTTTAAGTCTGAAATTTATTATTTTATTACATTAATATAATCTGTAAGAAGAAAAACAAAAGATAGGCTAAAATCCCCAAATCAAATTAATACACATTTATTGATCAAAGTTATATGAGGTAATAGGGGGAAATATGTAGCAATTTGGAAAGTTTTCAGTTTAATCAAAGATATAAGAAACAATTACTTCCATGAATCATAGGAACCAAGTAGAAAATAGAGAGACCATCACAGCTAGAAACATAAAATTATAAAAACACATACTAAGGCTTCATAAGAGTGCTTTTAAAATCTAACTGCAGTACCCTGAGGCCTCTGTGGCCTTCAGGATAGTCTTTGATTTGGGTCTTCTATGATACTCTAGCATAAGGATCTTATATCATTTATGATACAGCCAACAAGATGCTGAGATCATGGAGCAGCTTAATATGGGGCAAAGTGGATTTTGATACCAGAAAGGCCAATATTAAAATTTCAGTTCTCATTTCCCCTGAACCTCGATTTCCTAATCTACAGCATAGGGATAGTGATAATAATGCCTCACCAATACGGTTTTCTGGTGATTAAATGCAGATATATCTATCTATATCCTTACACATGTTAATTTTCAACAATTATTATTACCTTTGACATGATCTAATTAGGCACTTTGAGTGCAGCTTCAGTCACTAAATAGCATTGAAATCTCTGAGATAAGTGGCTCATGAACCATCTAACAAATATCTTTATGATAATCTATCTTTAGAAACTATTAATACTATTTAATATTAATCTTGAAATTTAGCTTCTGAAGCACATTCAAATATATCACCTCTTTGACCTTCAACCTTTATGAAAGGTGTTTACTATCATTTCCATTCTACAGAGGAGGAAAATGAGTCAGAGAGGCTTGGCTTAGAGGACTTGGCCCAGAATCATACCACCAGGAAGTTGCTGAGCTCTCAAATCATGCAATTGAGAAGTAGCTGAACCACCCTTGAGCCCAGGTCTTCTGACTCCAAACCTCATATCCTTCTCCCTACACCAAGTATCTCTCAGCAAGCACTAGTGTGTGTGTGTGTGTGTGTGTGTGTGTGTGTGTGTGTGTGTGTGGTGTAATCTTTCTTCAATCCCCTGTTTATCCACAAGATACTTCCCATTGATAATTATGAATATATAACAAAGATCCGGTTGACCCACTCTGTAGATATGTAGGCCAAGTTTATTTTCACCATTCCCAGTGTTTGGGGTTAAGACTTGGAATTTTGTTTTGTAAAACCTGCTGGATTGTCTTTTTTCCCCTACTGTTTGATTAGGATTCCACAGGCACAGATTGACATTAAAAAGCTGTTAACTCCAGAGGGCATAGCTAATGAAATGTCCCAAAAGTTGTGCACTTGCCAAAACACCGTATCACATAGGACAGCTCTCGATTAATCATGATGAGAGTATTTCCTCTATCTAAATGAAATCTGTAATTTGGAATGGAGATTAAAGATCCTTTGGGGAATGGAGGGAAAGTTGCTGTGAAAATTCTAGAAACTAGAAAATAAAGATAGATCTGCTCAATATTCATGAAGTCAGATTGGTGATGCAAATAGAGATTGCAATCTCTTATTTTCTAATGACTTGGCTTATAGCACTCCTCTATCAGTTTTATAGACATTCCCACTCAACATTAAAAGGAATTACAGCAAATTGTGCAATTTTTTTTTAAAGTTTAGCATATCCAAAATGATTTTCTGCCATCTCTGGCTAATTTCTTAAGGATTTCCAGTTTATATGATCAGAGATACATAATTGAAAAAAATGCTACAACACACATAATAGACAAATATATATTTATATATATTTTGTATATGTATAATGTCAATAAGTGAATGCTTACTGCATAGGATACAACAAAATTTCATAAGGTAGTTTAAAGAGAATAGTTATAAATATTCATTTAGGTTTAATTTTTGCTTCCATGAAAGTAATCAAATTTCTTCAGCAAAATCATTTTATAAATAGATGTTTCAAATTTTAACTTTCATCCAATGTATTAAAAATCTTTACCTCACACAGTGCAATATTTCCATCTCCCATGTTATATAGAATTTAAGAGGAAGTGAATATAAATTATAGGAATGTTTACTTTATTTAATTATGTGGTAATATAGCAAATAAGCATTTGAGATTGGGACAGTTATGAAAATGTGAAGGATTTTATTTATTCCTCAGCAGCAGGCATGTGTCTGTATAGGTCCACATGAAATACTTCTTGAGTTTTTGTCAAATAAGTTAACAGAATCTGCCTCAGAATAGAATATCTGTTATTTAAATTTTTTTCTACTTCTCTTTTTTAGGCCAGCCCTGCTCCTATAATTGTCAACACAGATACTTTGGACACGATTCCTTATGTAAGTAACATTTTTATTAAGACTCTCTTTAAAAACTATGGTATAACTTAATTAGCTGAATTTAAGCTTAAAACAGTATCAGTGTTATCATCCAATCCAGGTAATCTTATGGAATGATGTATCGAATTTTGTTTCACGAATTTTCTTTTGATATTTGTCAAATGTTGGCTTTGTCATGCAAATATTTTACCTTTCAAATTCATGGTTAGCACAAGGGCACATGATGAGAAATTAAAAAAAAATAAACTAGATAATTCAATTCTGTTTAAATAGTTACTTTGATAGGTAGTTCTCTGTAAAGAGATTGAATTGTACATGGCAGATATAGACAAACTTCTTTGAATTTCTAACTAAAAGAATACTCCAAATCAATTATATGACAGAGCCTAGAATATAAGTGATCAGTAATATTTGATGGATTTTGTTGGGCTTCTAACAAGAATTGGAGAAGTTCTGTGAAGATAGTTAATGTAAGTTAATAAAATCTATGCTTTCACAGAAACATGGAACTTGGGATAGTAGAATCAGGCAGATCATGAAGCCTGAGAATCTGTAACACAAGCACTATGATGGCCAAAGGTCTAGGGTGGAATCTGGTTGGGAAGAGAGATCGGATATGGCAGTGGGCTACACTGTAGGGAAGGTCTAGCAAGGCTTTGTGTGTAGGCTCTGGCTGGTAGGTGGAGGATAGTGATCAGGAAAGATGGGACAGTCACGTATCCCTCACAGACAGTAGGGGTGAAGTAGGGAAGGAGAGCCACAGGGATAATGGACAAGTATAGATTTGTGACCTTTGACTAAGTGAGTCAAGAATGTGAAGTACTTAGAATAGTAACTGGCACAAAGTAAGTGCTTGGTAAGTATGGGCTATTCCCAGACTTAAACCCCAACTTCAAATACCTTCAGGCACCAAGCAAATCATAGACAAAAATCAAGGAGGAGTAGGATCTACAGGGAATAAAAATCACATGACCCTCTAAAGGGGACAGCTGCCACTTGGGGCCCAGTGCTGCCAGATCATCCCATTTTTCAAGAGAAGCTATACATTTAAATTTTTATATAAATGTTTGCAATTTTTAAATACAGGCAACCACTTTTCAAAAGTTCAAACAGTGTATGCCAAACAAAATGTGTCTAGTCCATAAACTTCCGTTGGGGAGTTGTTTACCTCATAAAAACTGGAGGTCCTGAGCAGGTTCTGCCAGCCAGGACTCAGCCACAGGGGAACAGAATGCTAGAATTAGAGTACAAGTTTGGAACTTGATTACAGGAACAAGTGACTAAAACTGGGACATAGGGTCAGGACAGGAACAACAGTAAGCAGGACTTAATGCTGAATCACCTGTGTTACCCAGCTAGAGCTTCTTAAATCTTTCTGAACAAGAGTAGTTTGGGCCAGAACAGAAATGGGGTTAAGCATACTGGTAGGAATCGACTGGCCTCAGTGATGAAAAGTTAAGGGCTCTGCAGAAAGAAATAAAGCAACTAATTAAAAGAAACTGATATCCCTTATTCTATCTGCCACTCTTCCTAGCTTTATTTATTCATCAAACACATATTGAGTTTACTTAATGCCTAATATTGTTTTAAGGACTTAATAAACATTAACTCGTTTGGTCATTGTAATAATTCTATAAGATAGATACTATTAATTTCTCTACTTCACAATGTGAAATCAAGTCAAAAAGAGGTTAAGTAACTTGCTCAAAGGCTCACAGTAGGAGATAGAGCAAGGAGTGAATGCAGGTAGTTTGGCTACAGAATTTACAGATTTTATTAACACCTATCATGTGGCTACTTATGTTTCTCCTTCATCCCTGTGTTTTTACTTTCAGCTTCTTGAGAGCCAGTGTAGTAGATTTGGGTGGGAGACATCTTGTCACAGAAGCTTCAATACCCTTGTGACAGGGGCCCATATATGTCTATATTAATGAATTTGTATTCCAAACTAAAGTCTTTATGATAGCCATCAACAAAGCAGGTAAGCTGTGCTTTATAGAAGTAGACTTGGAGCACAGAGGCTTGATTTTACAAGGAGAAGCACTTCCCTATAGTGTATCTATACTATTTCAAATCTTTATTTGGATTCTTGTGGTTTAACTGTCAGATGCCCCCATGTAGAAACTGTTTATTATCAACCTAAGATCTAAGGATCTTGTGCAGATGTGCTCAATTGGTATGGCAACTAGGTAGCTAGTGAAATCAGCAACATGTAACAAATTATTCAAACTGTTCCCACTCTCCTAAATATCAACTTTGATTCTTCTCAGAGCTTTTTATTTTTATTTATTTATTTATTTATTTATTTTAAAACCTGCACTTTTTTCACACTCTTCTACTTTGTGTTTCCTTGAGTTAGGTCTTTGGAGAGGTGTGCTGAGTAGCTTGGTATGGGGAAAACTTCTAAATTTCTATGAGAGTTGTAAGCACACCCTTTTGTCTTTCCAAACACGTATTAATCTATAAGGCAGACATCAAGAGGCCTACGTCAGAGGTTGTTATGAAATCAAATCAGATTTTATGTATGACATCATACTTTGTTCACTTTGGGCTGAGAAGAGCTGGGTATTTATGTTTTTTATTAAAAGTACTTAGAAAGTAAGACATACTAAACTCTGGGAGAATTTTAAATATAAATGCCTTCCTCCACATAGAATAAACATGAATACACTATCTCTCGAGAATGGCGGATTTCACACACAGCCATTACTGTGGATATGCTTAGGTTCTTGGCAGAGTCCCCACTCTTCCCTTTTTTCCTGACTCACTGGGTAACCTTGAACAAATCACTGTTCCTCGCACAGTCTATTTTCTATTTTCTCATTCCCCAGTGTTCTATACTTTGTTTTCCTCTTTTCTTTCTCATGTTCTACTTGTTCACATAATTTCAGCTCTATTTAATGAAAAAATGATTTCAGAGTCCCCCAGGGCATTTTAGTCATGTTGCATAAGAACATTTCCTTCTTAAAAAATATTACCTGAATGGCAAATTTAAGCTTATATATATGAAAGTTCAGCTCAAAAATAATTTTATTATAAGTAAATGTACTAATTTTGCTGATTAGCAAATTTGATTTTAGATATAAATGATTTTTATGGAAATGGTTCCTTGGCATATGTGCAAAGGGCAATTGAATAACTAAAGGAAATTTCCAGGGCCAAAGAGAATTTTTATGTCAGTGTCTATTAAAGATACAAAAGATATTTAAAGATTTCTGCTTTTTTTTTTTTTTTTTTTAGAAAGGTAAATTAAGGGATTTCAGAAACCTGCCATTAATGAAGGGGTCACAGAGGTTTCTATGTATGAATGCCTCAAATAAGCTCAACCTTATGTAAGATCATGATAGTTTAGCGTTGGGTGGGACCTTGCATGTGGAACAGCCTAGCCTCTCGTGCAAAGCACAAGTCTCCTGTGTGAAAGTTAAACTCATCACAAAGAGAAGCAGCAAGAAGGGAGGGAAAGAGAAAGAAAAAAACATTTTCCCATTTCAGAACTCTTATGGTTTCTATTTTTTCACTCTACCTTTTTATTCTTCCTCGTTATGTGTTGAATATTGTTCTATACCAGATATTGAAAATATTCTTTTCTTAGGGAGTTCAGTGAGTAGAGCCTAATTGTGACTTGTATGTCTGGCTCCCTGAAGGTTGATGTAGTCACATGGTACAAGTTCCCCTCCTGGGGCTCTGCAGTCCACAAACATGTTGATTCATTCCCAACATACTTCTTCCTTTCAGTACACATGGCAGAATATTGAACACTATCCAAGCAAATCTCATTCTTTCAGCTGAAAATAAATTTAATCAGAGAGGTGCTAAATTTTTTTTCTACAGTTTTCTCTAGTATTCATTTCATTCATTTTCTTACCCATCTTCTGAAAATACACTGTGTAAAGTGATATACTTAAGAATCACTCATTTTAAATCTCATTAAGTAACTGGGAGCTCAATTATTTTAAACCTCTCACATTATAGATATAGTTATTCTAGCTCAACTAGTTAATGGTGAAGCTCAGTCTATAGCTGACTGTTATCCCATGTGTGTAACAATGAGTTTTGGTGTGTGACAATCAAGAAATCAGTGGCATAATAGTTTTATCATGTATATCTAAAAAGAACAAAGACAAAAGAATTCAGAGGCATATGACAATGAGTATTTATTTCTCCTGTATCTGTTTGCCCTTTGGCTAAGGCCAACTGCTTCAGGCTATAAAATACCAGAGTGGCTGGAGTATCTCTGATTCATGTTTCAATCTAGGTTCCATTTCTGGGACAGCGGTAATTGTGGGTATATTTTTTGTATCACTATGGCCAAAGCACAAGGCTCAAGCCCATATGACCCATCATAATTGAAGGCTCTGCTGTGTTAAATTCATTCATAGCCATTTGGTCAAAATAAGTCACGTTGGAAAGCTCAAAGTAGAGGAAGGAGTGGGCATTTGTTAAACAATAAGCTAATGAACTACATTCAGGCCTTAAGTAAGAGAGCTTAGAATTCGTATATATCTCTTTATTTTTTAAAAATGATACAAACACAGGAGTTTTACACTTTAAAAATATTGATAGGTCAATGACACTAAACAAAATGAAAAAGACCTGGTTCAAGTCATATGAGGAGTGAAAATTTTATTTTCAAGTGATACAAATGATTATGGAAATAAGGGCAGAAGTTCCAAGATCATTGCTTAGAAACCCTCCCAGGAAAGTGAAAGAGAGAGGGGAGTGTAAGTAAAGGGCAAAGAAAGATGAGTTAGATTTAAAGGAATAAGAGAAGGTCCTTAGTAGTATCACATATTGGATTTGGCTGCCAATAGGATCATCTGTGTCAAAGTTACATGAAAACAATCCTAATATCCTAAATGATCATATTAGAGGTGAGATTTGTACAGAGTGCCTTCAAATGTGATCAGTCATTGGATGCCAACAAAGCTATGGTTTTGGGACATAGGACAAGAGAGTGAATTAACAGAAAAATATGATACGAAGGCAAGGTGGCCAATGTG